TGATGTATTTTACTTTACTTCTCATTTACTATATCTTCAGCAAACTAGAAGTTAAATATAAAAGTTTTATTAAATCAAAGGAAGCATTTTTGACTAGAATAATAAATGATAAAATTATATCCTTCATAGTACATCACAGCAGAATTTATATAATACCAGTTTGACCCACCAGTAATGGTACTATAATTTGTCACTACACAAGTTAACACAGGTGATCTGTCTGTTGTACATTTTTCCTTGAGATTTTTAGGATAAGATTTAGAATACATCAAAATTTAATTAGTTAATTTTAATTAAAATTATTTAGAATTAATTTATAAATTAAAATAAAATTTATCAATGATTATTTAATGTAGATTGATATATTTTATAAAAATAATAAACTATAAGATTAAAAATTTAAAATATGTATGGCAGCTAGAAATATAGTTGCCTATTTTAAAAAAATTGCAGTTTTTATTTTCATCTACTTTTATTTTTAAAACTGTATTAATACTTGCATCATTATTAAGGTAAGGGTCTGAACTTGCCTTAACACTGATACAAATATTAATACTTAAATCATATCATCAGCAGACATTTTAATGACAGATGAATGATTTAAATAATTTTTCATTTTACTTGTTCTCTTATTCTAGGCAGACAAAGCAACTGGAAAAAAAGAAGAGCCACATTCAATAAAAATATGTGAACAATTTTTTAAATTGATAATTGTATACTATGAGTTTAAAAATATTTTTGTATTCAGTTTTACTAGAATTATTGAGTATATATAATACATGTTTTGATAAATAATTAAAAAAAATTTTTTTCACCTTTTAATGAGAGCACAGATGTTTCCCCTAGTTATTTTATGCATGTATGGGTTAATATGACTTGTTTCTAAAATCAAGATCCAGGCTTCATTGTATTCCCTTTCTTATTTTCAGAAATGTCAGCAGTTACTTTTTTCACATTTCAAATAAATAAATAGATCAAAATATAAAAAATTCTAATATAGCTGTATCACTCAATTATCTAAGTCCCTTCTGTATTGTATGTGAAAACTATATTGTATTCATTTACCAAAAATTACTTTTAATGATTTACCAACTGACAACCCTATTTGACCATCTTTCAATTTTGTTGAAAGCAAACACTGAAAACCACTTGAATTGTTAAAGCATTTGTTACCCAATCAGCAAAGACATACACATCCTTGATTTTGGGAAAGTCTAAAAATTGACTTTACGAAGATCTATCAAATGTCTTAGTTTTCATACAAGTGTTAGAAGTTAAAGGATGCTTCTTAGGCACCAGCAAATTTCACTGTGTTTTGTTTAGTAGTACAAAGTAAGTGAGAATGAACAGCCTGGAGGTGGTCAGAAAGTGTGGGAAACTGACGGAACACCTTTACAGCAAGTGTGTTCTCAGGCAAACAGATTTTAGCAAATAGTATGAATATGAAAGTGAGAATATGATCTGGAAAGTGACCGCCTAAAAACTGTTCATGTCAGCTTCTCCCTTGGTAAATATGTTTTCCAGGGGGCACATATCTCTCAGTTTGAAGAACACTGCCCATAGGTCCCAAAAAAGTCATGTAGGGTGACTTTCAAAGTAAAAGAAAAGTTTATAGAGGACATGCTGATAAGATTCAATAAACTAATTCTGGAGACAGCACTTCAAATGTGTTTAAATCATCATGGGTTTAAAAATATATATATTCTGGAAGCCTATTTTGTCTCTTTCCTTAGAATACTCTAAAAATAGTCAGCTGGAATCTGTTTCTTGGTATTAATCCAAATAGGCCCCAAACACAAAAAGATTCTCAAGTTTTAAGGGTTGAACACCTTCACTGAAACTTGGCTCTTAGCTTATTATAATAGTGGCAGGTAGACCTCATGGAGTTTAAAATACATGTCATGAACATTGGTAAACACTGGCTTCAGATTTGATATAGTAGGCATTAGCATCTTATCTTAGTGTGTTATATATTAGTCTTCAGGCATGGCTTAAAATACTGTTATTAAAACAGGAAAAGTTCCCTTATCCTCGTCACAGGGCGTGTGATAGGGGCGTGGCTTGCTTCTTTAGTGCCCTGCTGCTAAAAACCCTTAGAGGGTATATGTATATGGGCAGGTCATGGGGAGCCAGGGCTCTGACCCCATGGCAGTGTCTAGGGTTGAGTGTTTACAGACCCCCGAAACCCTGGTGGGCGTGTATTACAGTGTGCTCTTTCAGCTTAGCTATCTGAAGGGGGTTTGTGTTAATCAGCTCAATTAGAACCTCTGCCTCTTCTCAAGGACAGAGGACTTCTGTATCCTGGGTTCTTGCCTTAGTGCAGTGGAAAAATCAAATCACACGTGAGCTTGGAGAATGAATGAAAAGTTTAATTGAGTGGAAGTAGCTCTCAAAGTGAATTCTCTAGGTGAATGGGGAGGCCAGCAGGGGGATGGAGTGGGACGTTGGATTTGGACCACCCAGAGACCAGATTCTCCTTCCATCGAATTCTCCTTGGCTTCTGTGTCATTCCGCCAAGGATGACCTCCAGCATCTGCAGATGTGTTCTTCTGCCAGTGTGTTTCTCTGGGTGCCCAGCTGCTTGTGTCTATGCCCACTAGGGTCTTGGGGTTTTTATAGGCACAGGATGGGGGTGTGGCAGGCCAGGTTGGTCTTGGAAAATGCAACATTTGGGCATGAAAACAAGAATCGCTGTCCTTATCTAGGTCCATGGGCAGAGACTCAGGGTGGAGCCCTAGCCAGGGACCTGTCCTTCTCTATCCAGCACTTCCATGCCCACCTACAGTATCATTATGTTATACATACTTATACATAGGTACACCTTATATTTAATATACTATTAACATACATTAGTGCCTAGGGAAAGTACATTTTAAAAATCGACCTAACTTTTTTGAGGTGCAAGAGAGATTAGAGCCTTCTTCATGAACAATGACTATTATTACCAACTTAGATTAATTCAAAGGTAATCAGGAAAGCACTGGTACTAAAAATGACCTACACATGTCAAAGTACTTAAAATGTTGTGGTATAGGATGAGATACGGTAAATTGAGCAGAGATGACAAAATGAATGGAGAATGACATGAAGGCTAAGTATGATAAGAATGTGTCTTATTCAATTCTAGGATTTAATGATATTTTGATTTAAGGTTAGATACAATCCAAATCTCTGAAATTTTAGGTTTATTGGCTAATGTGAATTATTTTTTAATTTTTCCCCCCAAAACTGAATTAAGTTACTTTTAGTGTATTAAATGAGGCCATTTGTACATTCAATAGCTCTATTTAATCAGAAACACTCAAACTGTTTTCTTGAAAATATATATGGGTGTAAATATTAGTAGAAAATGCGCTTGGCAAGGTATTTTTGGAGCTTGCCAAACCCCAGGCATCTTAGAAATGCTTGAAGATGTTATAATGAACAAAACATACTACCAGTTCACTGAACCTTGGCGTTATGTGTCAGGAAAGCAGACAAAATACCGAATATATTGTCATGCTTTCACTTAACCAAAGCCATCGTTTTGCATTTGAATTTTACTAGAGACTTCTCCCATTTTTAGTTCAGCTCTGAAATGAATTAGTGTGATTAAACCAATGGCAGATTCCAATAAAATTTTTCAACAGTTGCTTATAATAATCTCTGAAAAGGAATTGGGCATGTATGCTTTGAAGACTTTCACAAAAGGACACAACAGCATTTAATGAGTTGTCTAAACTTTATATTAGGTTTTCCTACCAGTGGTACATGGAATTTTTTGCATTAGAAAAAAGTTAGTAAGAGCACACACCATATGCCAGGAACTTTCAGAGCGTTATTATGTCTCATAATAGACACAGAGCAGTACAAATTCTTATTTTTACATTGTATGCTGGTTATGCTTCATGTCAAACATGTACAAAATGAGTTCCTCTTCTGCCTGATCCAAGACTATGTTCTCCTTCATTTTATTACCCAAAGTCTACTCCTATGTTATCATTCTTTTAGATGAATTGAAATTGAACACATATTTTATGCACTACATCAAGCCCAGTATAGCTTATTTATATGTGAACTATTTTGCTTCTAATAAGAAAACAATCCACAATTCATCCTACATTATATATATTATATAAAGTGGATTAACAAAGGGGAGATTCTAGAATCTATGAAAACTTCTGGGTGAATGTTCTGTTTTTAGTTTTCTGCTTCCATTTGGATGCCTTTAAACTGAGCTAAGACAAACTTTATTTGGTTTCATTCTGAAGAATTACTAAAAGAATTCTGACATTCAGGTGAGAGGGCAGAAGGAACCAAGAGGCATGTAAAGCTAGCAGCATGCTCATTCTCATTTAGAAATATCCAAAAGGCCCAGCCACAAGTGGAAAAACCACTGGAATGCCAAGAGTGCAAATGTTTTCAGAAGACAAGAATTCTAATTAGTCTGAATGGGAAACTCAGCATGACATTTGATAGCTGGTTTGATGTTTAGAATCATTACACTGAACTGTGTTGGTAGGATTATACAATACTATTGTGATAATACAAATGTTAAATAAACCACCTACCTCAGAAATTTCTAAACAGAACTTTACAGTTTTTAGAGCAAACTAAAAAATCGTAGTATTTTTCTTTGTTAGATTTCTAAATGAATTTAGCAGTCTTTACACTTAGCAGGAAATCTGGACTGATCATTTGAGGCCTGTTTTCTTTATACATTTTGGAGTATGGGTTTGCTTTTGGACACCTAATAAATCATGATCTAACATCTAAGAGAGACTTATGGCTACATTGTTAAATCAAGGGAGGAAAAAAACAGTGTAAATACTTGGACTGTCTTGCTATATTCTTTGACCTGTAGGACAGTAATGAACCAAAAAGCAAAATCCTCTAGCAATTTCAGTGCCCCAGTCTTATTATGTGGAGTTAGTAATGGTTTTGCGTTTGAAATGTTAAGCCTTACCTTGTTTGTAGTTCACCAAGGAATACGACCATATGTGATGCTTTTTCTATTTCAGGCATTGCCCCCACTGCTGGATAGATTGCTGTTGACAGCTTTTGACCAGAGGGAGCCATTAGATTTTGCTGGCTAGCAAACAATTACAGCTTTGATATGAGCTACAAGGTAAAGATTAAAAGGGTTACCAATGCACAAAAATATGCTAGCCCTGTGTGGTCTCTAGTTCCTTCTTGTGCAAATGAAAAATTGTTTAGATGTAAAAAATAACAAAAGACAAAACCAAAAAAAGTCAAACTTTTTAGGCTGAAAGCTCCCTTTAAGAATAGTAGAGACTTTATACCATCATAAAGAATTCAAAAGTTTCATTTAAATATAACAATACCTTTCAAATAATGCTATTAGTGAGGAAGGTTTAAAATAATTTTTATATTTGGAAATGTGCTGCTTTTATTTCTAGCAGTGTAGTCTTAGGGGAGCAGTTATATCTTATATATTATGGTGCAACAGTGCAATTAAACTCACTAGGCATATGGGTCAATGAATGTTGTCAAATAATAAGATAACAAGATCATTTATATTATTTGGACATTGCCAAGAATAAGCTAAATTCATAATCTGTTAGTTTGAAAACATTGCATGGAATAGAAAAAGAGACATGAACTATGGCAAATTTAGGATTTTATGGATCTGATATTATAAGAAAAATCAATTTAAACATTTTCATAGCTCCATCTTCTTTTGGCTGAAAAGAACTTTGCATAGATTCTGAAGGGAATCTTATAGAGAAAAGATGAAAATATTAACTTCTTTTGTGTGTGTGGAGTGTTCTGTGCACTGAGATTTCCAAAAATTGGAATATAGTCAGTAACCTATGTGTCAAAGTTTTAAAAAGTAAAAGGTTTTGATGTTCTAAGACAAATGCAACCTTACAATATTTTACTGTGGTAAAGTGAGATACATTACTCTTTATAAAAAGTCTATAGATTTGACAATTTGACAAAGTAGTAATATACTATTTAATTTTTGTTTTTAACTGCATGAGTATTATAATTTTTCTTCTGTTTATTTTCATCAATATATCATAAGGATAGAGTAGAAATTGAGCTATTAAACATTACATATTTAGGTTGACTACAGTATGAAAACTGATATGGTTTGGATGTGTGTACCTTCCAAATCTCAAGTTGAAATGTGACCTTCAATGTTGGAGGTGGGCCTGGTGGGACGTGTTTGGACCAGGGAGTGGATTTTTAATAAATGACTTGGTGCCATACTGGTGGTAACAAGTGAGTTCTCACGCTATTAGCTCACACAAGAGCTAGTCGTTTAAGAGAGTCTGGCACCTCTTCTCTGTTCTCTTGCTCTCTCTCTCTCTCACCACGTGGCAGGCCTGCTCCCCCTTCACATTCCACCATGAGCAGAAGTCTCCTGAGGTCTCACCAGAAGCTGAGCAAATCCAGGTGTCATATTTGTAAAGCCTGTAAAATTTTGAGCTGTAAACATTCACCCCTAGACACTGACATAGGGTCTGAGTCCCACCGCCTGCCATCTATATGCTCCCCTAAGTGTCTCAGCAGCAGGACACTGAGGAAGCGAGCCACGCACCCTCATCTCACACTCAGCAAGGGGGACAAAGGAACCTTTCCCGTTTCAATCATTCCACTTCAAACTATCTTAGACTCGTCCACATTCTTCTGCCTACACTACCATCATTTATTTCCTGAAGAACCACCACCACCTTCAATTTGGTGTTTCCTAGACTCTTTTTGCTTCCTTTAATCTAGTCTTCCCATAATTGAATGCAATCTTAAAATGTAAACTTCTTTTCTGTATTTCCTTTCTTAAAATCATGTGATTGGTTTCTTATGGTGTGCGAATAAAATGAATACTCCTTGCTGTGGTGACCTTCTCTCAGGCCCATATCATCTTTCACTGTACTCAAGCCAAACTGGCTCTTTTCTGTTTCTGCAAATGTTCAAATTCTTTCTTTTCTCAGAGCTTTAATATCTGCTCTTTTCTTTGTCTTGAATGCTCTTTTCAGAACCATGCCTCAGAAAATAGCTATCTAAATAATTAAAGTCTGAATTTTAAAAGCTAAGGTCTAGAGAGAACTGTCCTAATCAAACAATGTAAGTTATATTCTTTCTGTTACTCTGCTTTACAGACTCATTGTTATTCTGCCTGGTAGACCCAATGTATTTATTTTTTCTTAGGACCTATTTACCGTTTTTCCTATTTGTTTTCCTGTGAAATTGATCAAACAGAAAAGTACAGGCTATAAAGTAGTACACAATAGTGTTCCTGCCAATGAGATTTCATCTTATATACACTGCCCGATTTTAAATATGTTGCAATAAAAAGTTACCAATATCAGCATTTCTGGATGGAATGTTTGTTTTCACCCTTCCGGCAGAATATGGAGCTATTACACTCTCCTAAGCCTTGTTAACACTAGCAATTCTCATGGGTAGTAAATGAAGTCTCCTAAAAGTTTCATGTTGTTTACTGATTGCTATTTTCTTAGGGAAATTTCCCTGTTTACTGCTTAAATATCTTCATTCTTTTGTGACTTGCTTTCATAATATATATCTATTTTTTTTTTGAGTCCTACCATCCTCTCACACCACCATTATCAGCTTCTTGGAGATTTTTATATGTTCTGCATCTTACCATTTGTTTGTAATATATGTTGCAAATATTTGCTCCTAGTATATATGTGTGTTTAATTCAATTTACCTTTAATTTTGTTTTGCAGTGTCTTTAGTTACACAGGGACATTTCATTTTAGTGTAATACAATTATTATTTTTTAAATTATGAAATTTAAACATTAAAAAGAAGTATTGTTTTCTGCATTTCCCTTCTTAAAATCATGTGACTGGTTTCTTATTGTGTGTGAATAAAATGAATACTCCTTGCTGTGGTGACCTTCTCTCAGGCCCATATCATCTTTCACTGTACTCAAGCCAAACTGGCTCTTTTCTGTTTCTGCAAATGTTCAAATTCTTTCTTTTCTCAGAGCTTTAATATCTGCCCTTTTCTTTGTCTTGAATGCTCTTTTCAGAATTGTGCCTCGGAAAATAGCTATCTAAATAATTAAAGTCTGAATTTTAAATGTAATTTTAGTGTAATAAAATTATTATTTTTTAAATTATGAAATTTAAACATTAAAAAGAAGGATTGGGTCACACTTAGAAGTAGAAAGGAATGAAAAATTGCTTTTAGGACATCTAAATCTGAAGTTCAAATATGAAGATGCGAGACTGTGGGTAATGTGAGGCTGCAACACAGGAAGACTCATGGGACTGAGAGGAAGGAAAAGCTCAAGGAGGAAGAAAAGAGGCACAAGCTGAGAAAATGTAGAATCCTGGGGATTTCTAAGGCTGGAACTTTACTAATATTACAGTAGTTTAGGGAAGCAGTATGATAACAGTATAAGGTAGGTATTGAGATCTAAGAGATAGTGCTAGAAGGATTAAGTGATAATTTTTCAGGGCTCACCCAAAACTAAGAACTGGAGATAGATTTGAGAAAAATGTTTTTAATATGAGCTCAAGGCCCCCAAATGAGTGAAGAGAAAAAGGAAAATGGGCAGAGAAAAGTGTGCATGTAGTATGAGTTCCAATAGATTATTCTGTGCATGTTATTTTCTCAAGACCAGATGATGAATGTCATACATCCAATCAGTGTCTGGTGAGTATGACCTAGATATGAATGAAGTCCCTGTCACACTTCAGTTATTTTGCACACCATGGATAACACATGCTTTCCCCATAATCCCTCATGGCACAGTGCCACTCAATTGCAAGAAAACTCCTCAGTTCCCAGTTTCTCCCTAGAGAGAGAAAGCTGGACTGTGTATCAAACATTCCAACTTTCCAGGTGTTTGTGGAGGAACTGGATTTTTTGTATCACCTGTCTAGGAACACTGACAGAATCCAGCATACACTAGACATTTCCTAGCTACTGTGAACAAAGGCAGTGGTTTGACCTAGTATCTGGGCACTCACCACAAATCATCATACTAAATCTGCATACAGTAAGTGGGTAAAGAAGAGCTTCACCTCATAGCTTCTCCCTGGAAAAAAATAGTTGGACCACAAATCTAAGGATTCAAACTTTTCAGGGGCTGCTCAAGAGTCTGGCTCTGTCTTGCTTGTCTCAGAGGGCTGACAGAAACAAGCATAGTCTAGAAGCCTGATGGACGCTGAAAATAAATATAATTTTTGAAAAATTTCATTTTTCTTTAATTTGAATTATACAATTTCTTTGTTACAAAATTGAATTTATATTGAAATACAGATAAAAATCAATGCATACAGTTACAAAATATAGACAGAGAACTTTCCTTCCAACCATCTCCAGCCTCTTACTCGTGGGTTCTATTTCTTAATAAGAACTATTTTTGACTGTTTTGTTTTTAGTCTTTCTTGCTCTTTCATAAATTTAAATTATATGTTTATACCTGTATTTTTGAATAATCTATGCTAAATAGTGTCTATTGGTTTATATATATTATAATATATATATATTATATATATATTATATATTAATAATATATATATAATATATATATATAATATATATATATTATACTTTTAACATTATGTCATCTCTGAAACCTCTTCATTGCTGGAAATATTTTTGTTTTTAATTTTTTATAGATTATATTTACTTTTCAACTGACACATAATTGTACATATTTATGGGGTTTAAAGAAGCACAAAAGCAATCTCTATAGACCTTCTCCCCTGACCAGTGAAGAGTGAGTGGATGAAAAAACTGTATCTTCTATCTTCTCCCTGGAGAGGTAAAGAGTTGGACAATGTACCCAACGATCAAACTCTCTGGGTTCTATATGGAAGAATGGCTTCTAGCTCTACTATATTGAAGCAATGGCACGATCTGTTGTACTCTAGATACCTGAGGGTGGCTGGGAACTAAGATGGCAGTATGAACTACCACAGAGGTTTGGGAGATCAATAGATAATATGGCCAAGCTGATTGATGGTCTTTTCCTACACAACGCAAATATGTGAAAACTGAGTGGAGTGATTTTTTTTCTAATGTGTAGATCATACCAACATAAAAAGTAAAGGAAATTAAGAAACAAGAAAACACAATCCAAATAAAGCAACAAGATGAAACTCCAGAAACCAACCCTAC